GGGTAAACATATCGAGAAGAAGTTCTTTTGTTTCTTTGTTTGAAATCACACTTCCTTCTTCAGCAAAAACAACCTGATTACCAGTGCCCACAACTAGTTGCGAAACACTTATCAAGTTATGTTGAAGACCTTCAACATATGCTACCCTGTTAACAGTGAACTCGACATTCGTAACTTTACCATAACCTTTGACATAGCATTTGGGATATTTTCCAAACTTCACTACTCCAGCATTATCTTGACTTCAATAGTCACGCAAATTTTCCTTCCTACCAATCATGTAACTAGAGCAACCACTATCAATGTACCATTTGTCATCATATTGCTCGTCACACAAAACCTATAATCATTGAAAGAATTTAGGCCCCCCAAGACTGTTTGGGTCCTTGGTTATTAGAACAAAATGCATAATGAAATGAAGATCCTATAACCTAATTACATTCTTTTGATTTCAAACTGTCAATTAAGTCCACTTCGTGAGGAGAGGGTATTAAAATGAAATCATTCTTTGATTTTGAATCAACATTGACTTTCCCTTTAACCTTCTCAGTTTGTTGCACACTAAATTTTGATTTTGGAAGAACTTTCCATTGTCGAATAGAGGGATTTGACTCTTTGGATGATGAACTTCCATTAGAAGAATTATTCAAGTAACTTTCATATGAAACCTTGATTTCTTCGTGTGAAAACTTCCCAATTTGATAAACTTTGCATTTCGCTTCTAACCAGTGATTGATGTGTTTGACATTGTTTGTTCCTCTTGAAAACGAAACATTAATTGACTTCTTCCAAGATGGATTGGTAAAATGAGGTTGTGTGGGTTTAAACGTCACATTTCTCTTTGCATTGACATGTAACTTTTCAAAATGTTGTTTTGCAAAACTTGGTTTTACTCGTGATTGAAAACGATTTTGAAAATGTTTGTGATAACCAATATTTGATTGATGAAAAACTTCTGGACCATTCAAAAACCTTTGTTGATTAGAAAATTGAGAAGAATTCCTTTGTTTATTTGGTTGAAAACCATTTCTTTGAAAATTATTTTATGAAAACCTTTTGTTTTGAGAATGATGAACAAAATTCTTTGACTTTTGATGTTTTAGAAAATTCTTTTTGTTTTCGTTTTGATTGGGATGTTGAAACTTGTGGTGGACTTCTTAACAGACATTTTTGTGATTGACTTTTTGACCAACCCTTTTGAGTTTGAGTGGGTGTTTTCTTGACAAAAGACTTGTTTTGAGAGTTTGTCTGAACTGATTTAGACTTAATCGTTTCAGACGATTTATTTGACAAAACATTTTGTTTCTTTCGAGGCTCAATATTTTTCCAATAAACCTTCTCTCACGCTTTAGTCATTGAAATTCCATGAACTTTTGAAATCTTTTCAATTTCTTCTTTGAAATTTTGAACTTTTTGTTTTGACTTTTGAAAAACTATTTCTTTCGATTGTTTTTCTTCTTTTGGTTTAAAAGTTTTAACAACCCGGTTTCTTTGTGGTTTTTGTCTTTGAAAAGTGGACGAGTTCTTGTTAAGATTATTTTCGACATGCTTTGATTTAAGAAAAATCTTTCTTTTGAAACTTTCTTGTTATACTCTTAAACAATTTTGTTAATTTCAGGTTTAACATTTTCACCATTTCTTGAGGTAACAAACACCTGATTTGGGAAGATAACTTCATCTGAGCATTTCAAATTAGGATACACAACAATATTTGATTCAAGATAACGAGGACCCTTTTCTTCAGGATTTTGTCGAACTTTTTAGTTTCCTCATACACCTGATCAACAAAAACTTGGGGTATGGTTGTTTCTTTCGAAACATCATCATTATCATCATCACTGTCTGTCTAACTATCTTCAACAATCACATGATTAGGATCATGAACTGTAAATGTCAAGGGTTGGACAGTGTCAATTTTAACCAAAGAATCATTACCTATTTCTTTATCCTTCGCTAGAGAAGTGACATTAATGACAGATTACTAAGAACAGTCAACAATTTCCTCTGCCTCAAATTCACTCATATCATTAGAATCATCTTCCATATCAGCAATATTGTTCTGAGAGTTAGATGTTTAATTCTTAGTTCTTTTCAAAATTTCAATTTGTTCGTTTTTGGTCAATGTCTCATTTATAATGTCAACAAGATCATTTGCATCTAAACAATCCTCATTTTTCACAACACCATATGCATAAGAATCTACTGGGACCTTATCATATTTAGAAAATTTCTTTTCACGGTCATAGGAAGTTGAATCTATTTTCTCCCTTCCGAAAGGTAAAAAGGTCAGAAGTTTCCTATGTTGTTCTTTGCTAATATCAGACGAATGATGTAAAGCAGTTAACTTCCCATACAACCTTTTAATAGTATAACAATAAATGTTTCGTTGTTTATGAAAATCTTGATATCAGATCCGAGACTATATCGGTCACACATTACATGAGTCAATTGTATATCTAATTGATCTATCATAGTTTTCTTGGTCTCCAAAATCCTATGAGTTTCTAGTAGTTGTGTAATGAACTTTTTGGCATCACTACTAGTAGAAATAAGTAGATCATTAACGTAAGAAATAGCTCCATCAAACTCAGATAATATCGAATTATATGCACTAGAGGGAATATTAAAAGATTGAAAAAAAGAATGTCCTTGTGAAGTCATGGTAGACTTGTAAGTGGATATCGAAACAAAACATCTCCCATTGACTTTCTCCTCATCCTCTTCCCCCAAACTTGCTAACATCACTCCGTGAGTTGGATTTCACATCTCATCATCATCTGAAGCTGATAACCATACTTGATATGTCCCTTCTTCATCTGTCATCCCTTCGCAACTAAGGATATTCCCTTCGCCTTTGCTCTCACATCATCAAGCCTCTCAATGTAGTAGACTTCTTCCTTTACTCTATTCTTTTTCCCATTCCTCTTCTTAAGAATACAATCACTTTCCATGTGATTTGCTCCATTACAGTAATGGCAGTCGAATCCTAAGTCACCTTTAAGCTTTTTCTCCACCTTCACATCTTCAGCCTTGACATCCTTCTTTTCCACTTTTTTTTCTCATCTGCAGTCTTTCCAAAAAAACTTCATTTCACTTAACTTGCTTGTGGCTTCGCATTAAAAGGCTTTTGGAAGAATTTCTTCACTCAATTGTTCGAGTAAAAAGCCACTACTTCGTCATCAGAATTGACGATTAAGCCTTCATCTTCTAAATTTTCCTTCTCATCAATTTCTTTCTCAATCTCTCTTCCAGCAACCTTCGACACAAGAGCAAGAGGACCTCCCAGACAGATCCTTGTTTCCTCAGCAATCTCTTACTTCAAATTCATGTGCTTTTAACACATTGAAGAGATCATTCAGTGAAAAATATTCGAAACTTTGCCATGTGTTTATCATAAGGCTGACATTTTGCCATTGTTTGCGAATTCCCATGATAAATGTTAGATTGAACTCCATTTTACACCTTGTAACTCCATATATGTTGCATTTGAAAGTGAGTTCATTTAAACGGTCATAGTACAGCTCAATGAATCTCCTTTCCTTCTGTTTAAACTCTCCCAAGTCTAACATACATTATTTGACTGAGCTAATCCTTGTCTTCTTACTGGCTTGATACTTCTCCTTCAGTGAATCCCAAATCTCCTATGAAGTTTTATAGCTGCGCACATAATTGTATACAACTGGTGGAAGAGCACCACAGAGTTCATGCATCCATTTCTTTTCATTTTTCTGTAGTTTCTCAGCATGTTCTACAACATTTGGATTATTGGTAGTAGTTCCAACACTTTGTACAACAGTAGGAGGATGAACATCACCAATGTTTGGATTTCCAGATATCCCATACTCCATTCAAATAGTCCTCCATACGATCAGCCCATTGATCGTAGAACTCAGGAACAACATAGGAATTTTTGTGGATGAGCCAAGAAGATGAGGGTATGAATTCATGGTGTTTATGTTAAAGTTTTCCATTTTTGTATGGACAAAATTTGAGAAAAACTTCAGAAATTAAGATTTGATTGACAAAACTTCTAGAAAATTAACACTAAATACTCGATCAAACAAACTGTAGGCAGAAATGAGTCAAAACAGATTATCTGTGATGATTTCTAGAATCAAAAGAGCAGAATATTTTGAATCTAGAACAAGATTCAAAACCATTTGAAAACCTAAGAAAATCACATCAAAACTGAATGAATCCTACACTGAAACCAAATGTAGTTGTGATTTAATAGAGCATGTAATACGAGATTGGATTCAAGAAAGAATTAATAAGACAAGATCTAATTATAATCTGGTTGGCTCGATTACACTTTTTGGAGATACAGAGAAATATCAAAGAGTACAAGTTGAATGCCAAAGCTACTCACTAACTCTAGTACTCATCCCATATATATAGGGATAAGGAAAGCATAAAAAAAGATAAGGGACTAAGACTCTTAAGCATCGATACAAAATGCCCTTATAATAAACAAACATATAAATACACTTTGACACATACAATGACTCAGACAAAATTCGACACCTCACAACAACTTTCGACCTCAACACATATGGCCTTATTTTTGCACAAAAAGGACACCTGCATAGAACTTAGACCACAATACACTTTTAAATATACCAAGTGTGATCTTATAGGCAATAATGTGGTACCCACACTTTAATTTTTAAAAGGAGCACATGCATATCATTAAATTTATCAAGGTATATAACAAGTAGAATCTTTCATACCATTCATTGAATCTACAAAAATTCATTACAATTGTTCCTATCTACTGCCATCCCATTACATCTACCATCCCATACACACACTAATCAAATAAGCATTCAACCAAAAACCTAACTATACATTACAACTAGGATCTAACCATGACCATGTACCCGTACACCCATACACTTCCTAAAAGCAAACAACTTTCTAGATCCATCCTTACACTTTCCAAAAAACTGGTTGGAATTATATACCATCAACCATAAATACCTATTGATCATCTACACTTTTCAAGGGCACTTCAACCACATGTCAATGACTACAATAACCATAACAAATATCCCACACTTCAGCAGACTGTATTGCTTCATCAACTCTATAAACTGTGTCTTAAACACTTGCTTATCTGCTTCAATAGCTTGCTGCAGCTTAACCAACTTCTTTTGAATCTTCAAAACATCACTAAAGTCTTTTTTCCTTTTCAGCTCAAACCTCATCTTGTGAAGCTGGTCTTTGTAGTAACCCTCTTCCATTTCTTTTTCTTTCCACATAAAAAACTTGCATTTTGGAACTTCAGCTGACTGATTAAAAGGGAATACCAAAATTAGGGTTAGGATTACAATTAACAAAAATGTGTACATTTCTGACTCAAAATAAGAAATATGATGTAAATAAACAAAAGGAATATTCACCAAAGAGTTTTTACAGTTCCAAAACCTTCGAGCTACGTTATCATCAGTTCAGACAGTCCTTTTCATGCTAAATGCATCTTTACAATCACAAGGGGGACAAGGTTCATCATCAAGAAGGTTTCTGATATGCAGGAAGTTGATTGATCGACCAGAGGAGACAAATATTGATCTGGTTATATCGATTGAATGCAAAGTATCAAGAGGGAGGCACTGACCTAATTTGGGGTAACAATGTATCGTCGATGGTTCAAATGAGGGTTCCATTGAAGGAAGTTTCCACGTTATAAGATCACATGGTCAAATGGTTGTCCACATAAGCCAATACACATCAGCAGTGACCCCTAAACCAATAACATTTTTTCACATTCCTTTAAGTAGCCAATATTTACTAACATTAATGATCAATTGAGTACAAAAAAATGTTAGTGATAAAATGTGCAAATTTACAAAACATTGATGTGCTACAGTGTCAACAACTCGATAATAAAAGATAGATGTTTCTTACGACTCAACTAATTGATATGAATTCCCATTTTGTAGTGAAACCTTCAAAAAAATCTCTCTTCCTCTTTATACATACTCACCTAAGAAACTCTTTGTTCCTTTTCATTGACCAAAAAATACCAATCACGTTTATGGCAAGATTAGTGCACCACCACCACCATTACGATCAACAACCGTATAAGGAGAGACTAAAAATGATTTCTTCTCTAACCTTCTGGATGAATCAACAAGATATATTCATGTAGTGCACTTTTAAATTTGTAATTTAATATAGATCTTATTGAGTATTTTGTCCCTCACACTGATGGCGACATTTTTCCGGCATTATTAGATTACCAATTTTCACTTTACATTAAAAAAAATCAAACTAACTTGTTTAAAAGGTTGATGAGTATATACTTTCTAAAAGGAAACCATCAACTTCATCCTATTACTCTCATGCAATTTTTGAGAAAAAAGAGTATGTTATTTTTAAAAAAATGGATAGAAAGTGAGATATTATAATTTACTTATTCCTCGATTCTTTGGTTTCTTTTTAGTACCTTAAACCACCATTTTTCGTAAAAATGGTAAAGTTAATCATTATCTTGACTAGCTATTTTGCTCTTTAAACTTGATAATTATTTTATTTATTTATGGTAATTTTGGATCTTACAGCCATTTTCAAGTATCCTTTTTATTTCTATTAATTCATGTTAAAATATTTTTATATTTAATATTACATTGGATGGAAATTGGATTCTCAGAAAAAGAAAAAAATATATCAAGTGGTACAATGGAATGTAAATGTGTTTCAAATTAACTTTTAAGAAAATGATAAATAGTTGGAGTAAGAATTTGTTTTTAGCTTTAATATTTTAGTCAGTTATAACATTCTACTTTATTTTTTATTTTTTCATGTTCGGGCATTCAACTTTAAGTAAGAAGTTATATTAAACACAAAATTAAAAGTGCGTTGTTATTTTAACCTAAAATTTACAACATATTTTCATTGTGTAACACCCAAAATTTCAAAACAATTTAAACTTTTAAAAGACATGTCAAATTCATCAAGCATTACATCTTTGTTTTCAAAATGTTAATTATCAGAGTTTTCCCAGAAACATAAACATAATAGGAGGAGCTGTACGATCACGCCTTTGTCTTGCCACGATCCCCTGATGTACCTGAGACAATAAACTGAAACTATAAGCTCAAAAACTTAGTGAGTTACCCCCAAAATACTGATACATATACAATCCACATAACCATGTCAAATAATAACATATCATAACAAACGGAATAGACAACACGTAACGAGTCCATAGCCCTACAGACTGTAATACCCACGAGCCCACAGTACGAGTCTCCCTTAGCCCGTAACTGGAATGCTCCCGAGCCCACAGTACGAGTCCCCCTTAGCCCGTAACTGCAATGCTCCCAGGGTTTGATGGCTACCACACGAAGCAGTACAACCTCAACCTATCCCATATAACAACACATAAATCATAAGAATCGAGCATGCAATATTCAGATAACATCACAAGTAGTCCTACCAACCTACCTAATAGGCATAACCACTAGCATGCAACACTAAGTCGTACTCAGCATCTAACACAGCTCAAGGTGACATATCAATTGGGCCGGCCTTGGTGCCTTAGACCCCTTAGTATAGTGAGGATAACTCACCTCACAACTGTCGTATAAACTAAAGCTCAACTCCCGAATCACCAACACGAACTTCACCGCCTATAGTTACCATAAAACCGCTTTTCATAAATCTCTAAATTACCATAATACCCTTAAAAAGTCAACCGGTCAACCCTTCTTCTAAGTCAAAGTCCACAGTCAAAGTCAACAGTCCATGTTGACTCGACTCGTCGAGTGCAATTCACCGAATCGTCGAGTCCTTCCTGAACTTGAGAAGTCGGGAAATCCTTAATTGGCTTGTTGAGTTCCCCTTTAACTTGCCGAGTTCATACGTGGCCAAGAATTGGGAGAAACCCTAGCCAACTCGTCGATTCTTCGAATGACTCGCCTATTTCAAGGCAATATTCAACGGGCTCGTCGAGTTGTTCATCAACTCGTCGAGTCCATGACCATCTTCAATGGGCTCGTCAAGTTTTTCACCCAACTCAGTGAGTCATTGCAGACCTCTACCCATTCAAACAATTTTTAAGCCATGGCAAGGTTCCAGATTACAGATCTAAGCTTCTAAGGCACGTTTATCACGTAAACTTGTAAAATTTACACGCATGCAAGGCTCTAAAGGCCTAAAATGACTAATCTAAGCTTTCAATGGAACTTCACACCTTGGGAGAGTCTCATCCTTGCACAAGCTGGAAACTTTATGGACTAAGAAGCCCAAGGGATCTCAGTTCTAAAGTTGAAACTTCGGATCTTAGCTTTCACACAAGAATAACTTCCAATCATGCCATGAAAACCCTAGGATTTGTCTAAAGAGGGGATCTAGAATGAAATGAGGTTAGGGTAATGATTTATACCTTCCAGATGATGCCCAAAAAGGCAGATTTCAGATCCCACAAGCTCCTTGCTTCTGAATACTTGCTCTCCAAGCTCCCTTTCTCCACAAAATCCTCTTCCAAGCTCAAAAGCACACAAATGGAACACACACACTCACTTAGGGTTTGAGAAGGACAAGAAGCAATAAAGGGGAGGATGGGGGAGCCCAATGATCCTTAAATAAGGTGCAAAACCCCGAGATATAGGGTTTCATTTGCCAACTCCTACTCGTCGATTCTTTTCCTAGACTCGGCGAGTAGGTCATTAAAATACCTTGACCAGCCTGCTGCTACTCGACGAGTAGGGCAATCAACTCGTCGAGTAGCCCTTGAAATCAAGAAATTCACCGATTAAATCAATACCTGAGAAACAGGGCGTGACACATTGTTTTATTTATTCCAACATATTACTTTCAGAGCTCATTTAAAATGACTCACAAATAATTCATTTTATTTTCTATAAACATACAATTACACAAACTCACACACTCACATATAAACACATTTAACCCATCCATCGGATGCTTATAACACTAGTTTAACATGGTCAAGATTAAACGTTGAGATGATCAGAAGGCTAAGCCGTTAGTAATAATAATAATTGAGCAACAATTTCTATTGGTATCCGAACGGGAAAAAATTCTCAAACTACTGAGCAAAATTATATCATCTCACCATGACATGACGTATGATATTTAACCGTCATTCCAGATTGTTAAGTGACAAAAACTGATGTTTTCTATATTCTAGTATAATTTGATATTTGATTGAATTTCTTAGTTTGTCAAGTTAAAATTGTAGATTAACTTACAATCAAGTACAAGTATTCGATATTTTTACTATGGACTGGGAATTACTTTTGATGTTTTAATACAACCAAACGAGTTTATGAATACTACATCAAACATATTAATTTTTATAGTACATTAATTAGCAATTCTTCATGTTCTTCTTGTGTGGCCTATATTGAGTTTACTAATGATACACGATTGCTGTTCCAATTAGTGCTTCAACCGAATTCGATAGAAGAAGATCCGAAACACGCTTTGTAGGATTTGAACCTACGACATCGGGTTTTGGAGACCAACGTTCTACTGAACTGAACTAAGATCGCTTTCTTATCATAAAAGATAAGTCTATAAATAAAAGTATTGGCCCTAATACATCTTGTATTCATAGACTATAATAGTATCATAATAATGAAATACTCTATATGATATCTCCAATGTGAATTGATCACAAAAAATCCCTCGTTACTACCCAAAGGAGCAGTAATAGGTAAGGATGACAGGATTTGAAACATATTATTGTTTATAACACATAAATTAATAATTCAACTTGTTAATAGATAATGTAAATATCAAAAAGATATGAGGGCATATTTAGCAAAAGTAGCTCGTAATGGTAGTTAGTAGCGGGTAACGTTTGATTTTCGAGCGTTTTGTTAAAAGCTTCTCAATGTATTTAAGCTAAAAGTTAAATGTTCTGATCGTCGAACGAAACTTTTTTCTTTTTTACGAGAATTTTTCTTAAATGTTAAAAGCCAGAAGCTCTCAAATGTTGCGTGGCGAACACACCCTTAACAGTTTGTTGTTGTTTTTCGGTGCCATTTTTTTTTCTTTATGGTTTTTTCAGAAAGCTATAAAGTAATTGGCTATTCCCAAATGATGTTAAGTTATTTTTTAGAACTGCAAAAATGGTGTTTGGGTGTAAAGTCACGCTTGGATGTATTTGTACTTTACTCACTTGTATGTGTAATGAGTTGTCTTTCCTTTATAAGGAAGCGAGTGAAACTTATATTTAGGGATGATCATTTGGAGTGTTAGACTAGAGAGAGAATTTTTACAAGACCCATTTGTTTGTTCTTTCTATATTGAATTAGAGCTTAACAAGATTTATGTACTCCATGTGTTCATAGTTTACATGATGATTCACAAGATCTTTTCTAATTCCGCTCAAGCCATCATAATCAACACTACTATAATTGGTATCAGAGCAGGAATCATACTGCAATGATCTGATTTTCATCTTGTATCGATCGTATTTTGAGTCTCGTCTTGGATTCAAAAGTTTCCGCACTTTTGATAATGAAAATCATCTTTGATCTTTTGTTGTGATTCGATTATGCAACAAGTTTGTTTAATCGAGTGTTCTGTTTGCTTTTTTTGAACAATTCATCCATTAATTATCAAATTTCAAAAGCTTTTCTGAGAATTCATCCGTACATCAATGGTGAATTTCAATATGAACACGATGACG